CGGACTGTAGTAGGATACGCACTTGCGACCACAGCCAGATCCAGGAGTGTTTTGGTGAGTTTGAACCAAGTTGACCAGGGCCTGCCTAGCTTGAGGCAGGCAGTAACAAACCATTGAGCACCCGGAGGTGCCCTCCAACCGTCAGAGACTGCGTGGCGCTCCTGCTCTATACCCATCAAGCAATGACCTTATAACCCGCAGGCCTATTGTCTCCCACGGCTAGGTTTTACGGGAAGTGGGCCACCGGCCACTTCCTAACCTCCGAAGAGGATGGTCTGGGATACTGGTAGGACGCCTACACCTGACTGGGGAACAACTCGGGTTCTCAGCCAAAGCCTTCGATTAAATGTACACCCGAAAGGCATCGGGTCTTGCACGTGGTGAGTTCACTGACTTATGCGGATTGGTGTCCCGGCTCTTAGCTAGAAGTAGGACGCAACTCCCACCCTCGGTTGCCAAGAGGAGCCGTCCACGACGTGAGCCCACGGCACAACAGTAGCACCACATTCGCGACCAGGTGACAGCTGCTGCCGAGGAGACCATCGGGCGCGCAAACTGTAAGCGGCCTGATTGGTTTGATGACAACAATGCGACGATTGGCGCATTGGTGTCGGAGAAGAATGCAGCATTTGCTGCACATGTGGCAGACCCCAGTGACTTGGGTAGGCATAGTCAGTTTCGCAAATTCGACGACGACTGACCCGAGAGCTCCGTCGCATTAAAAATGCATGGTGGACGGAGAAGGCGAAGCAGATGGAATGCTACGCCGAACGCCGCCAACACAAGGAATTCTTTGACTCCTTGAAGGCGGTGTATGGACCGAGATTGGAGCCGCTGAGGACGCTGATCGATGGTAGTTCAGGCGCTACCTGCACACGGACTGCAGACATAATGCAGGTCTGGCGGAAACACTTTGACTGTCTCTTGAACAACCGTTCAGAGATCGACTGGCCTACTTTGAACGGCCTCAAGCAGCATGAGATGAAGATGAGCCTGGCGGACACGCCGACACTGGATGAGACGAAGAGAGCACTTGCTCAGCTGCGAAACGGCAAGTGTACCGGTGCCGACAGCATCCCGCCTGAAGAATTGAAACACCGCGGACCCGCGTTGGTGATTGCGCTGCACCACTTGATGCAACGCGTGTGGATTGAGGAGGAGGTGTCTCCTGACCTGAAGGATGCCCTTGTTTTACCACTGTACAAGGGCAAAGGGGGGCAAGCAATGTCGTAAGAATTATCGTGGCATCAACGTGCTGAGTTGTGTGGGCAAGGTGATTGCCCGAATCCTACTCAACGGCCTCCTCAGTTAGGTTGTGGAACCGAACGTGGCGGAAGAGCAGTGTGGATTCCGTTCGGGTCGTAGCACTATAGATATGGTGTTTGCGGCTCGTCAGTTGCAGGAGAAGTGCAGAGAACGACACCAGCCATTGTACTCGCTTTTTGTTGATTTCACCAAGGCATTTGATACGGTGAACCGCGAGGCATTGTGGCTGGTGTTGGGTAAGTTTGGTTGCCGCGTAAGTTTGTAAGTTTAATTGAATGTCTGCACAGTGGTATGCGAGCGAGGGTGCAGCTGAGTGGAGAGACCTCGGATGACTTTGCAGTTGTCTCTGGTGTGAAGCAAGGCTGTGTCTTAGCTCCTGCCCTGTTTAATATATCTTCCATGCCATGATGTCTTGTGCTTTTGATGCCGCTTGTGCTTACGGTGTTCGTGTGGAGCACCGTATTGATGGTGGGTTGCTGATGATCCGTTGTTTCGGTGCCAGAACCCTAGTCTGTGAGGCAACTGTCTGCATGTTGCTGTTTGCTGACGATTGTGCGTTGTTTACACACAGTACGGATGAGTTGCAGCACATGACTAGTGCTCTGGCTTCGACAGCGGCCAAACTCGGGGTCACCAACAAGACAAGTGAAACTGTCTCTCTTTCAGACTTCACCAGAGGTGCAATCTACAATATTCCCGCAACTTAGCATTGGTGATAAAGTATTGGAAACCACTTCCCGCTTCTGCTATCTTGGGAGTATGAGGTCGACTGATCAACAGATACTCAGTGATCTGTGTATCCGCGTATCGAAAGCAGCTTCAGCATTCGGGAAGCTAGAGTAGCGAGTGTGGAACAACCATCAGCTAACTGTTGGTACGAAGCTGATGGTGTAAAAACCATGGTGCTGTCCGTTCTTCTATATGGCAGTGAAATGTGGACTATATACCGGCGGAATAGGCGATATCTCGAGCGGTTCCATCAACAGTGTCTGCGACGGATTCTGCGCATTGGTTGGTGCGACAGAGTTGCAGACACGGAGGTTTCATACCGAAGTGGAATGTATGCAGTGGATTGCATACTTTTGCTGAGACACCTGAGGTGGCTTGGTCATGTGTGGCGTATGGATTCGACGCGGATACCGAAGCAGCTATTATATGGTCAGCTGAGTATTGGGAAGCGGCATGTGGGGAAACCGAAGTTACGTTACCAGGACATGATCAAAGTGAGCCTCTCACGTTCTAATCTTGATTGCAGGTCATGGGAATCGAAAGCGGTTGATCGGCGTGCATGGCGCGATCTGATCACGAAGACCGTTGCCGAGGTGCAAGAGAAAGCCCTCGTGCATGCAGAGAAGAAGCGGCAATTGCGGAAGCGACAGGCGCCGATGGGTTGTACTCCATCGACAGCGAGCGCATGGTGCTGTAGCACATGCGGTCGCGAGTGCCTGAGTCAGGCAGGCCTAGTGAGCCATGAGCGAGGCCACTCGGGACCACCACCGAAGCGACGACGGGTCCTGCAGAGAACGTAGGCAGAACCGGCGCAGCGTTTGTAGGTACGCTGCATTCGATTTACTAACCGCGTGCTTGCATGCTGAGTCTCTTTATTTCAGGTGGTGAGTTTGCTATATTGTCCTAATGCTTTTTATCTCATATTAATGTCTACCTGAACTATCTTCTATAAACTTGCACACATCGCTTAAGCTAATTGTAGTTAACTTCGATAACATTTTCGCGTTTGTGGCATTTCTTAAAATATTTTCTGACGTCTTGAACTTATCGCGGATTTGTTCGTAACCAATTTATTTCATACGCTCATTTAGTGAAGAGTTATGTCACCGTATCTGTATGCATTATTCGATTTATTTTATTTGATGTTGTTTCAAGTGATTGGCTGTTGCTTGATATCCCCGGTGTGGCTGCGCTTGATGTGCATGTTGACAAGGTGCCTACCTGTCTATTACCCACTACCTCGTCCATACTGGCTCCAGGAGACAGTTGGTCGTTGCTGGAGGGGACGGGGTGCACGGTCCTTGTGGTCGTGCTAGGCTCGAAGAGTGGTTCCATGCACTCAGTGTGGAGCGGACTACGGTCCAGCCACCGCCTTGTGTGCGCTTGATTTCCCAAATACAGCGTGCTTGTGTTTGCCTGTGAAGGAGTGTGGGCCGGCTCCGTTGATGAAACGTGGCTCCCATCCACATGCCTCCCGGTCTTATTCCTTCGGGTTTACACTGGATATGGTGTGTGGTTGGAGCTGTGGGTGGTGCAGCGCAAGCCACCCATGGTCCCTCTGTAAGCCTGGGAGGTAATTCCGAACTCATGGTTTGCGGCATCCGGTTTCTGATCGCATGGAATGGACGCGCTCCTTCTCACAGTGGTAGCAATTTCTCACCGTTATCATTACGATTACCAGACTATGCTGGCTGCTATATGGAGGTCGTCCATGGACAATTGACAGCCTAAGCGTTCGGAGCACCAGTTGGTGCTGCAGTATCCGTACTTTTACTGACACGAAGGAGCTCGTTCATTTGGTGATAGAAGTCATCTTTCACCGAATCATCGCTACAGTTTGGGAGCTTAGGCAGCAATGACAAACTGAAACCATGTGTCTCCGCACGATTTCGAAGCTTGGAACGAGCCGGCCAACTTGAGGGCGCACATCCGGCTGATTGATTAGGATCTAATCAATCAGGACAGTTTCATCCCGAGGACTCAAAACAAGGCCGCGCCGGCATTTGAAGCTGCGTCATCTCTGGACAGACGCAGTGCGAAAATGCTGCAAATTTGCTTGTGGTTGATAACAGTATTAAGCACCGAGCTCGAATCTTGCAGCAACGTTTCAGAGAAGCAGCGGATATCGACCGATAGTCTTTTGTGTTCTCGCAAGCTTTGCCTGTTGGTCAATCTGTACTAAAACCCTACTATTCTTAAGGGGGGATCGACGGTCCCAAATGGAAACAGATGAATCAACGTTTGCTTGGTTGAACGTGGACTTCTAACTGGACCGAAGAGACGCCCTGCGGTTGCGTGTAAGTCGAAACTGTAAGACAGTCGACTATTGAAGTAGGATGGGGATGGGACCAAGGATGGGATCTTGTAAACATGGTGCATATAAGTCGAGTTGATAGGGGACGATAAACTGAAAAAGTGCTCTAGGAGAAGTATTGGGCAGAAAGGTCTGAGCAGTTACATCATCACCCCTATTCACCCTGCTCGGTGCAGTAATTCGAACGCCGTTGATTATCTACTGCATCAGGAATTCATTTGATGATAAATTCATTGTATTGCGCCGATAGGATACTGTCGCGTTTCCCAGGCCTAGACAAGTGAACGATTTAGATTCTCAGTCAAATACTTTGGTACAATAACCTGACTGCATTGCATCGACATTTGGGCAGTTGGCTACAGTGAACCGGTTTTAAAATATAAATTGACTTTCTAATACCCAACGTTTAGGGCCGTAAAACCGAGTTCATCTGGCCTCCAACCATTGTCCAATCTGGTATGAGTGGCTCTTAAGGCAGAAGAAGTACCACCTAGCTAGTTCAGTAAACCACTGAGGCACGCGAACCATCTCAATACGTTATGTTCCAGTCTCGTACTTATTATGAATCTGTCCGCATTTGCGAAGCAGCATGCTCACACTTGTAATCGTGTTTCCATTACCTTGCTGACCTTTTATTCATCTTACTCATGCTCTACCTTTATCTCTTTTAGTTTGACCATAAACTATTTTACAATGGATACGTACCCCACGGATGACTCTTGGTCGGCTGTCGGTGACTCGCTCGTCGATCCTGGTCTTGTTATGCTAACGACCGGCGAACCCTTTAATTGTCAGACTCCCGAGGCGTTGGAGCCTTGTGTAAATGGTTTCAGAGACAGTGACCCGGCGTTAAATCGCATAACTACTTCTTTTGATCCATGGTTACCTGATCACCCAATACATGTAGAAGTATGCGTATCGCAATTCAACACGGAAATTTCCTCTACTATCGAATCCCATGTGGTCGACTTTCTTCGCTCATTAGGTCCTCGTCACGTACCCACCATATTAAATAACCACGAAAACCATTTCACCCTCGTAAACTCAGAAGGTACGAGCCAGCAAACCTGTGATTTCCTGCAACGCTGTGTTCATTCAGTTAGCGTAAGTTTGACTAGCTTAGTTTCTGATCTTACCTTGTTCTATTCTGTTATTCTCTATTCCGGAGTTTCAGTGAATTCAGCAATACTGGGTGCTTTGGACTTCATGCCGTCTGTTTCTCCTCCCGTAGTTGTTGCTGGATGAAGCCGATGGTTCGAACGGTTATGACGCCAGTCGGTCTGTGGACCTAAGAACCACGCCCCTCGTGGTGCATGTATACCAACTTGTCTCTGGGGACGAGGCCCTTCCGGTGCACGAGAAAATCGAAGTGGGCTCCGAGGTCATCAATGGTGGCACTGTCTGGCTCCTCCCGTCGATGGAGATGCAAGGTATATGGGAGTCCCTTATATTCGATTCCGACATCAAATTGGATCTGCTGAGTTATGCCGAAACTGCACTGTTGTTTGCAGACAAGCAGGTTGGTTGGTTGTACTATCAATGCTCACGGATTTGTGCTGACACAAACTGCTCACTTTATCTTTTGTCCGTCCCCCTTTAGGTTTCCTCCTCAATTATATCGTGGAATCGTGTGGTACTTTTGTATGGTCCTCCTGGAACTGGAAAGACTTCGTTATGTCGTGCGTTGTCCAATAAGTTGGCCATCCGCCTGGCTGATCGTTACTCTTCCACCAAGTTGATCGAACTGAACGCGATGAATCTTATGTCCAAATGGTTCTCTGAAAGCGCTAGGCTGGTCGCTCGCATGTTCGACGCTATCCGAGAGTATCTCGAATCTGCGGATCATCTTGTCTGCTTGCTAGTTGACGAGGTGGAGAGTTTGACCGCCGTGCGCAACTCGGCTATGTCTGGCTGCGAACCGAGCGATGCCATTCGAGTAGTCAATGCGGTGTTGACCCAGATCGACCAGGTACTGTTGTACGTTGTCTTTTTCTTACGTTATTCAACAGCCAATTGTTTTGGCCTCGTTTGTTTTCACTTCATACGGGTGCGTACCAGCTTTGTTGCATTGTAATACTCCCAGTTATATGCGTCACACAGTTTGCACGGTTGTTTCACCGTACACCTTTTTAAGCGCGCTATTCAACGCATCTGTCTGCCGGTGGCCGGGTGGTCGGCGCGCCTTACTTGCAACCACAAGGTCACTGGTTCGTATGGGCGTAGATATGGCGTCCTCGCGATGTACTCAGCCCACTCGGGACTATTGGTGGTCCCGCGGCAGCGTAGCACCGTTACTACGTACTGGTGACAATTTTTCCCCAACCCATCTGCTAAACACCGTCACTGTTTTTCTACCTGCCTGGATTTGCGCACATGATTACGCCGAACACTTTTCACACGCTTTTTCACCTTTCACTAACTATCATCTTAGCCTCAGCTTTGAATCGTCGCCTCATTATGACGCACCGGATACTGCACCTGGACCACTTCCCTATCTTGAGGCCGATGCTGCATGTTCGCGCAACCGGCAATGCACGCCAACACCGGTGCAAACTAGTTGTACTGGATTTGAAGCGCTTAGCTCATCCTTTATACTTCGAGCGTTGAGTGGCGCAATATGGGAACAAGTTGCCGGAGACGCTTGTCAAGTCGAAATCGGTGTCGGAATTTGAGAGATCCCTTGAGGCCCACTTTGCGGACCACATGTATAGGGAGCGTATCGCACCTGGATAAGTTGTAGTGCAGTTGCAATATGTTGCTACCGCGCAGGAATCAGCGAGATGATTCCGCGCATGTGCTCGATCCACCTACGATGGAGCAACACAGATTTTTATCTTCTCGCTCTCTATTCTCAGTACTCATCTTTGTTTTATTCGACGGGTTGTCACAGCCTAAACAATTGTCGCGTAGTAGTCCACATAGCCTTCTTGGAAACCAAGTTCACGGTGGCTAACTTCAAACTCCGCGAGGTGGCCAGCCAACGAGGTGAAAGAAAGTCATGAGCAAAGTGATCAAGAGACTTAGTCAGGCCGGTATTTAACGTCTTCTTCCGTGGGGGCTTTGAGGCGTTCTTCAACTCGAGGTAGTCGCCAACTCAATGGAAGGACTGTACTCTGTTCTTTGCATGTAGTTGTTCCCATTTCAGCCAGATATATTACTCTCGATTATTTACATCTTCCTTATCTTCTCTTACGTCCTGCCTCATTTTCTCTATCATTATCACTTATTGTTATTACCTCGGCGACTCGGGTAGTGGCAGTTTGAGCCACCTGTTAAGAGAGCCCGCCCATAGCAACCTAGAGAAGATTGATCCGACGCAGCCTGAAGCTTATTGGCTACCCATTGAGTGTTTGACCTGGATGTCTATCCGTACGAATAATTTCCCTTGAAGTCCACCTGTGAGCGCCTCTTTGGACAGCTAACAAGCGTTTTTCAAGTATATATACCATTTCTCAATTGATTGCATCCTTAATGCAATGGCTTTCATTCGTAGTGCAACAGCTTGCATCCTTAGCGCAAAAACTGTAATCCGGTAGTCACGAAAATTGCATCGATGACGCCCTCAGTATGTCAGCTGTCCGCTGGCTTCAAACAGATATCTCGTTTGTTTACTCAAGCCATCCGCTTGTCTAGCTGAGCACCAGCATCGGGCAGTAAGGAGGTGGAAGCATGGGCTTGCTCACGAATTGCTTCTAAACCCCAAAGCCTAGGATATGAAGGTTAGGCGAAGTCAGCACAGTTCCGGACGATCGTGTTCGGAACACTGGATCGCCCCCCCCCCCGGCTTGGTCGAGTGCGTTGTGACTGGAGTCAAAATGGTTTCACAACGAAGGCTTGAGTGAACAAACGAGATGCCCGTTTGAGGCGAGCAGACAGCTGACACACTGAAAGCGTCGTGGATGCAAACTGCTGCACTACGGATGACACCCATTGCATTATGGAATCAATCAATTGAGAAATGCTATCGTGATTGCTGGAATCCAAGAACTTTCAGCTATATCATTCCTTTTTGAACTATTTATTTTGGTCTTATCTTTTAGTTGTACATAGTTTACCGGGTGCTCAACATTGGTTTGACAGATGCATTTATCTTCTGATTTTAGGAAGTGGCTGGTCCGTATCGTGAATACCCGTATCGGTTATCCGTACTATTAACGGAAACTGCACAGCACTTCAGTGCTTGGTCATAGTTGTTTAATTGCACTATTGTTAGTCACTGCTCTTTCTTATCGCTTGTCCGCGGACCTTCCAAAGCGTATCTTCATGAACCATCCACCATGCTGGCAATGTGGCTTTCACAGCAGTGAAATCTCGAACATCAACCGGTTTGGTCACTTTTTCAAGGCTGTTCATTCGTCAATGCACATTGACTGCTTAGTCTCTTACTTCTGTGATTGCCTCGATCGACCGCCTGTTCTCATTGACGCTACTTTGTATTATGCATTGAAACGCGCTGGTCCACCTTTTTCCTCCTTGCCTTTCAACGCACGAACCTTGCAGAGAACATGGCTCCTCGCTTGAACTGTGGCTCCCCATAACGGCAGCTGCGTACGACTTTCGACGAATGCTTTGATTACTCACGAGTAGTGAACATTTTTCTTGCGTTCATCGCAGCTGCTGTCGTACGTGGCTGCTGTTATGGAAAGCCGGGTTCATATCTTGTTTACTGGCTTATGAAAAAATCCCTAGTGCTCCTCGATTACCTCCCCGGAGGGACATTTTTTGTTTGATTTGATGATGCGACTGGACATCACGTGAATAGCCTATCCATTGATTGGTTTGGAACTTGGAAACCCCATTTACAACGGCGAATGCCAAACGAGACTCAATGAGTGAACCGTGCAAGTGGTTACTGAGACTTCCCGTAGATTAAGGTGCTCTTACACCAGCTGTCTCATTTCTAACTTTTATCGAGCGTACCTACTAATTCTTATCACTTCTTGCTCTTGTTTTAAGATTCTATGAATCCTGTTCAGACATCATGCGTTCCTGCTCACATTGCACCACTCTAGTGGGGGGGGGGGGGAGGACGTATGAGACAAGAGTCGTTGATGAACATTACTCTACCAGCTTCGCATCACAAACCCCCAAACCCTCATTGCATACACAATTTGTTGATAAAACTACGCCTCTCGTCTTCTTCCGTTTGTCTTAACCGGTTTCGCATATACCGAGCATTTCCACCGATAGTTCACTCGCCACTACTTTGATGTAAGTGTGATTTTATCAATTTGCTTTCGATTTTGCAAGGCCGCTGAAAAGTCATTGAGCTCTAGAGTGAGAATTCCTACTGGTCCAGATCGCAATGTGACCAAAGTAGCTGTCGCGTGCAAGCTAAAACTAAACATGCTAATTATAAGGGAAGCCTAGTGTGGTCCCAACTAACCCAGTATAGCTGAGTGGCAGAAATCTGTCACAAGTGCTTCCTGCTAACCCGCACTACTAATCGCGGAAACAATGAAGAAAAACATTGGCGACCCACTTTCTTATCCTTCTCGTTGAGGAGCAGTTCGGCTAACCTCCCGCTCATGCGCTGCTTCTTACCGTCCCATTTTACCATGGTCGACTAGATTAGAGACCGAAGTTTAAATTGTTGTCACTGCTCGCAGCCGATCTCACACTAATGTCCAGGACTCTCTCGACCAGTCGGTGGCCCAGTGGTTCCATCGCAATGAGGCTGAACCTTACCGTGGTGCGATGGTTTATGTGACTCAGCGATCCATTAAGCTATGCTGGGTGGTGATTTTTTGCACCTTCAGAGCCACTCATACCAGATTGGTTAATGGTTAGAGGCTGGACAAACTCGGCCTCCTGGTCCTCCAGGTTGGGGGTTGGAATGAGGGTGGATCCTTATTCCTTAAAACGGGCTCTTTGTAGCCCAACGCCAAACACGCTGCTTTGCGGTCAGGTTTTTGAGCCAAAGGCATTGGTTGAGAATCCTAATCGTTCTCCTGTCTAGGCATGGGCAACCTGACAGTATCCTATACACGCATCTTTCCTCAAACGATTTTCTGATGCTCTGACCACCGCAGAGGATAATCAACGGTGTTCTATCTGCTGCATCGAGCAGGGTGGATAGGAGTTTGGATGCTACTGCTCAAGAATTCTCGTCTTCTTATTCACCCTCGTATGCCTTCTCCTCCTTATCGTCCCTTACCAACTTCAGTTTTATCCCCCTTTTTCAACCCCCCCAATTCTTGGCTTTCCTTCACCATGCCTTGATAGGTGTTTATCTTCTAGTTTCAACTCACATGCAAACGCGGAGCGCCACTTTTGCCCTCTCGACAAGTCTATGCTCAACCAAGCGGTCCACCCTAGTTCATAGGCTTCTATTTGGAGCCCTTGATGCTCCCTCAGATTGGCATGCCTCAATATACGCACATTACTACAGATCGGTCAACAGGCAGCACTTGCCCGAACATAGAATTCCCCCGCGATCGATATCTGCTGCTTCTCGGAAACCTGCCTGAAAGGCCCGAGCTCTTTTCTCACTTTGCGATCCCCTTCAGATGACACTAGCAGTACTTTCTCATTGCGTTTATCCCGAGACGATGCAGCTTCGAGTACCGGCCTAGCTGGTGTTGGTATTGCCCTGAGTCCTCGGTCTGAAACCGCTCTGGTTGATTGGATCCCAGTCAGTAGCCGGATGTGTGCGGCCCGACTGGCTAGCTCGTTCAAACCTTCGAAGTCGCGCGGATCTGATAGGTGTCTGTTTGTCATCGCTGCCTGCTCCCTTACATACTGTAGCGATGATTCCATGAATGACGGCTTCTATCGTCAACTGAACGAGCTCCTTCGTCACAGCAGAAGCACGGACACTGTAGTGCCTGCTTGGCATCTGAACGCTGAAGTTGGGTACTTGTCCACTGATGAGCAGCATCTGGGCGGCCAACATTGTGTAGTCTCCCTTACTGATGACGGTGAGTTGGTTGCTTCATTTACGTGAAGCTGCTCGCTTACTATTTGCAAGCACTAATTTCCGACACTGCACCTGCTGGAGGGTGACTTGGCCACCACCAGCCTCGAACCAGCTATGGACGCAAATCGATCACATTGCCATAAGTTACCGATGAAGAGGCTGCGCCCAGAACTGTCGTTAGATTTCGAGCACATATGTGGACCACGACCATGTACTTGTATGTGCTGACCTGCGTATGCGTTTTGGTGGGCTTCCACGACGACGCTGTGAGCGCATTGACACCAGCCAACTGGCGATACCAGGTGTTCTGACTGCGTATCGAAGTACGCTGGCGTTCGGGTGGAGTGAACCCTCGCTGAATACAGTTGAAGGTCACCGGTCGCATGTTCACCGGACTTTACTAGAACAGGTAAATCATCATTTGGTGAGTCTAATCGCCAACATGGACATTGGGTCTCTTCGCGGTCTCTGGAACTTATCCATGCTCGCCGACACATTCCGGCTGGAAGCGAACACAAAGGGACTCGCAAAGACATCATTCCTATGTAGTGTGATCATTGAGTTTACGTTTCCGCGAAACACCAATTTGAAGCGTTTATGTAACCCAGCGGTTTACGGGTTTTGGAGGAATCACAGCCCGTGGTAGATAGGCTCACTTCACCAGTTTACCGATGTTGGCAGCTAGACTACCAATGATATTTGTTGCGTGTTTCTTCGGTGCTCTTGTGGCTTTTAAATTTTTAGCCGCTCATAGGGACAAAGACTAGCCTGGTGTACAACGCGACTGAGACGTGTCATGTTTCATATATTGACTAAAGACTACTTCTTAACAGGCATCTCACTCTTGTACACCGGCTCCATCCGTAGACCGGGTCAAGTGAAACCATTGGGCGATTGCTGCCGATCTCTTCCAGCTACCTCCCGGTAAAAACTATCGCTACTTTGCAATGAACAATTTACTCCTCATGTTTCGGCCTCGCTAATTGGGCCACCGTCTCTCTCCGTACTCAACGACTGTCTATCTGTGCTTGTTTCTCACAACTGCCGCGTCATCCTATGCGAAGTCCCATGTCGTCAGGCCATCAGATGCCAAGTTAGCGTGAAAATTTCAGCTGAAAGTTGGCTTCCACTACGGTGACCTTCCGAAAAAATGAAGCGTCGCCACTTCGAATTTGCATAGGTACGGGCTTGACCAGATGTCACCAAGTCTCAGCGAAGCTTGGGTGCGGCACACCGTCGTACTGCTAATGTCATTCTTCTTCTTTCTAGCCGATACCGACCTCGTTGCAGTTGAGGACTCCTCGGGGTACTGGATCTCGCTGTTCTACTTCCAGCCATTTGTTCCTATGTCCGACGGATCAACTTTTGTCTCTTTTTTCTTTGTGTTTTTTCTCATGTCTTACTATTTTTTGTTTTCCTTGTTTTTACCACCATGGTTACGTGGCTTTTGTGGTATCCGGTTTGCTGCATTCCTATGCTCAAGCCACAATTGTCATGCTGGACCCCCTTCGAGAATCGACAACCTCATTTAACTACTATCGATTAGTTTTTCCTCAAAATTATCGGTTTCACTTAGTTTCTCCTCTAGTGCACCAATGTGTCGTTTGCTTTGCCTCGAGATCATCCACAAGTTATGATTTTACCTTATCCTTATCCTATTGGATAAACTTGAATACTTTCTCTACTCCATGTACTGTTCAAGCCGTTTTCATCTTTACAACTGCCCACAAATGCAGTCACGTCAACCCTTTGTTTTGACCTCTGGATCATTCTCAGTCAGCCTGTCTGTTCTCTACTGTTTTTCGTGCGCTTCTACTTATCTTGTCAATGGTCGGCTGCATCACATAATATAATCATTAGTTCATAGTCGAGCAGGTAAATTCATTCCGTTCCTCTACCATTTTCTACTTTGTGAAATAACAGATTTATTTATTTATTCCCGAGACTTCTTCCTACGTTGTCTACTCAGATCAAACGCTATCCAAATGTCCTCGTGTTGGCCACCTCTAACGTGACCGGTGTCATTGATCCGGCGTTTCTGGACCGCGCCGATATCCGGCTCTTCATTGGTCCTCCTTCCGCTCCGGCCATCTACACCATTTACCGGTCCTGTCTGACCGAATTGATTCGTGTTGGACTTTTAGAGGCCGGTGAAGACAAGCTTCTCAGCTACGGCGCGTTATCCGCAATGCGTTTCTCGGAAAATAAGGTATGTTTCCCTTGGAGCGGGCATGGTCAGGTGTAGCTTTTACATGAAGCCTGTGTGTACCGCATTTAACTAGATTTGACTGAATCGACTTTATTTTCTATGCTCAGTTTTGTTAATGCTCTGCATATTCCCTGTTTATTTTGCGCTTTTCCCCCACTTTCGTTGTTTATCTCTTGACATCACCTGACTTACGGCGGTAGAGCAGTGCGTTTCCGAATGCACGGCAAGTTTTTTTTCACAACAATAGATAAGCATTACATTTTCTCGACGTACTCTCCGCCAGCGTTCATGCATTGTTCCGCGCGCTCAAACAATTTGGAGAAGCAGTTAGACCATGCCGAAGCGGGTAACCTTTCAAGCAGCTCAATAAAGGCCTCTACCATCTTTGGTGACTCGTAGTGGATTCCACACATCATGCGCTTGACATTTGGGAATACAAAAAGTCACACGGAGCAAGGTCTGGATCTTAGGGTGGGTGACCAACTTCCTGGATGCGTTCTCTAGCCAGCAACTCCACGACGACATGGGACATGTGTGCAGGTGCGTTGTCATGGTGCAGCAAGGTCCCTCGTGTTCGAGTCCTTGGACGACGCCTGGCTACAACTTCCGCCGCTTATGGCAGACAATGGGTGGCATACCAGTTTCCGGTGACTGGGCGTTGCCGTATGAGCGCTACAGTAGCTACATGACCGGTCTTGATCCCGAACACAGTCACCATCTGCTTGGCCAGACTACGTTCATGCCGGAATTTCGGTGGTGGCGCCCCACTGAAGGCCGTCCACTGAGCCGATTGTTGCTTGCTTCCTGAGTCGAAACTGTACACCCGGGTCTCATAACCACTGAGGATCTCCCAAACAGCATTGGAACGTCCACCATCAAACCTGGCAAGCATGGTGCGGCCCAAATTCACCCTAGCTGCTTTCTGCTCCTCACTGAGCTGATTGGGTGCCCAGCGTGCATAAACCTTTCTGAGACCGAGGTTCTCATGTAGATGGGTACACATGGATCCCGATAAGATCCCAATGGCTTTCCACATCTGTACCACAATCAGCCGCGCGTCCTCCTCCAGCATAGCTTGCACAGCAGCAATGTTGTCCGCGGTGGTGGCTTACACAGGTCGACCACACCGTGCCTGATCATTCAGAGCTCGCCTGCCACACTTGAGTTCTGCAAACCACGCAAACACAGTGATCCTCAAAGGCGCATCATCACTAGAAGCAGCACGCAATCGCTCAACACTGGTGCTGCTCTGAACCACATTTGTTGTCATAAAAAATTATCGCTCCCCAGGGACTGAGTTTCATACTTACAGTCCGAGTATAGCGATCCCTATGACTTATGAGCTGTGCTGGGCTACCTATATAGGGTACTGTTAGTTGAAATCACTGGATGGATTACAGTTCACATTTTCTTGCCAGCTCATCCGCACCTAATCTGTGAACTGCGTATCCGGAAATTTATTGTTCTGCGCTTCCCCCCCCCACTTTCGTTGTTTATCTGTTGATATCCCCTGACTTACCCTTGTTAAAGATCACTCTCACACTGGATCAGACTTAATACACATTTCGATACGGGGTGTGTGGGTGAAACTGTGTGTGATACAACACAAGCCATCCATGATCCCTCTGTAGGCGCAGACTTCATGTGGCTGTGCAATGGAGGCCGGAGTAACAGGCGAATCGTGACCGGATGCCGCCAATCAGTCTTTGAGCCGAAAGGCACACGTGCTGCATTCCGACAAAGTTTCTTTTATGTACGAAGTCTGAGGAACCGATCACCAAAACAAACATTTGAGGATCTCTGCAATTGGAATGATAATCGATGAAATGAATTACTGGTTACATTTACAGACGTTTACACACGAGAGTCTAAAAAATCATAGTCCGTTTTTAGCTATTCAGCTGGCAGATCCGTTCAATTATACCCCCGTCCGTTGCTACCGACCAGGAGTACGGAAGTCGTTACGTCTATTAAGGACGGTGCATGTTCTTCCCATATCCACATTGCTCATTACTGCTCTACTCTCGCAACTACTGTTTGGTCACATACACGACCAGGCGCATCCCTGTTTCCACGCTCGTTATCCACAGTCGGAGGCGCCGTACTCTGATCATGGTTGTCTGCATCCGTTATCTGGTTTTTAGGTACGACAAATCATGTGTCCTCGAGTCTTTTTAGTTGATCACTCGTCTTGATTCGCAGTATCGCTCCTTACATGCGTTTGGTGGTTGGCACCGTATGTGATACGTTTGATTCAGACGTAAGGCGAGTTTCCAAGTAAATCAGTGTACTAGTATTATCATTAGTTCAAATAATGTGGGCAGCCGTGTCGTTTTTGTGTGCTACCTTATCCATTGAGAAATACAGGACTTGGTACTTCCTGTCCTAAATGATTTGGAATATTGGTAGCTCGGGAGGCTTGCTCAGTTGTTGTGGAGTTCTCCGAGCTGGGCAACTTGGTTGCAGACGTTTCGCCACCATTCGAGGTGGCGTCTTCAGTGCGGGATTGATAGCAGGTAAGTAGCAGTAGCTGGTAGAAAGCAAACCCATTATTGGGTTTGCCACCTCGAATGGGGGTGAAACGTCTGCAACCAAGTTACCCAGCTCGGAGAACTCCACAACAACTGAACTTCCTGTCCTCTTGACTGACCACTTTGATTCAAATGGAGTCCCTTACCTACGGGATCAGTTAAACTCTGGGTGTGCTTCTAGAAAAACGTTGAACCACTGTCCCATCATATAAAGGATAATCCGCAGCCTGTATCCCGTCCGTTCACTTTATGATACATATGTTGCTTGCTGCATAGTTGAATACGCAAATCCGAGAGAATAATCCGCAGTTGGTCTACAATACAGTCGGTTCTAAAGCGAGTCGCCTTTTCTATTTCCAAGGAGTGAATTGGAGCCGAATACGAATTCAGAACTACTCGTCCGAATGATAAAAAACGCGTATCTTAAACATTTTTATGCGTCGATTTCTTTTACTTAAGTTTAGACTACATTGATCTAGTTATGAAGTAAAAAATCAAATCAAATCCAGGCGCCTAAACTGCTCAGGGTCATTCTTTTCACTCCTGAGATGCGCCAGACTGTACTACAACGGTGGTACGAGCTACGTGGAAACTTCTCGTACGAAGTCAGGATGCATCCAGACAAACCGCGGGAGGAGCGCAGGCAAATTCAGGGACGTAATTCCACGCCACTCAGCCGAGCCACGCCATCACTACCTATTACGCGACTTGTGGATATACCAAAAAACGAATAGGCTCCGGCCCCTGTGGGGTCGGCGCAAACCACACTGGAACTACCCTACCATCTATGCCTTCAAGCCACTGCCCGCCAGCAGTTCATGTTAGCGCGTGGAACTGCTTGTACACCAAGTCTTTATCGCTACGGAACAAGGTGTCCGAAATCTCTTCCCTTGCGCTGGACACGCAAGCTAAAGTTATATGTATAACCGAAACCTGGTTCTGCCCAGACGTTGTGGACGCCGAGGTAGCTATCCCGGGATACGTGCTCTTTCGAAACGATCGTGAAAGCGGCAAAGGCGTAGGCGTAGCTGTGTATGTATCAGACCGCCTAACGTGCGTCCCTCTCAAATCTCCGGAACTACTATCTCTTCCCGAATCCCTCTGGATTCGCGTCCGCGACTCTGGTTCCACCAGTCTCACCCTTGGAGTGGTTTATCGCCCTCCCTCAGCTGCGCCAGAATGGCTGCGGCGCTGGAACGCCGCCCTCCGAGCAGCTACTTCAGATTTGGGTGCCCCCCTACTCGTCGCAGGTGACTTTAATTTCCCGGAGATAGACTTTACCTCTGGCCAAGCTCGCAGTCCGCACAGCCTTGAGTTTCTTGCCAGTGTTCTAGAACATGGCCTAACCGAACACGTACAGCAGTACACTCGGTGGCGAGACGGTCAAAACCCGTCGAAACTCGACTTGCTGCTCACCAACGAGCCACATCTAATTGACAACGTTAATTTGAGCGCCCCAGTTGGTGCAAGTGATCATATAGTTATCAGTTTTCGTGTGGTGGCGAACGTCACGCTAAAGCACTGCCCATCAGGCTTAACTTTCGTCGAGCGGACTATGACGCGATCAAAGATTTCCTCTCACGAGTCGACTGGTCCCTGGCAGCACAAACCCCCACAGTCGACGACCATTGGAACTACATCGCCGCCCACATCCACGACGCAATTGGGGCACACGTCCCCACAGTGCGCGCTTATGCACCGAAACGCCACAGGCAACTTCAGCCTGCTACGCTTAGGCTGATCAGGGAGAAGAAGGCCCTCTGGGACAGATTCTTACTTTTTGGCGACTCTGATTCGCGAGCACGATACTGTAGAGTGCGAAATTCCTGTATAGCAGCTGTTCGCCAGGACAGAAAAGCGTACCAGCTCTCTCTCGCTAAAAGCTTCACCGATAACCCCAAGGTATTCTTTAAGCATATAGCGTCCCTCGCTAAATCGCGCGCTGCCGTTGGCAGCCTGCTTGGACCCGTAGGCAATACCACAACATCGGACAAAGAAGCTGCGGAATTGCTGAAGACTCAGTACGAGTCCGTTTTCTGCACCTTTGCACACAGTACAGTGGAAGGCGCTAATTTTACCCCCATCGCTGCCAGACATCCCGTGCAGTTTACATCAGAGAAAGTCCTGGAGAAATTAAAAAAATTAAGGACAGACAAATCGCCGGGTTTGGATGGGATCCCTCCCATATTTCTACATGAGTGCGCCACTGTACTGGCCGAGCCGCTTGCCTTACTGTACAGCCGCTCCTACACCAGTGCCGAATACCCGAACGCTTGGAAGCAAGGGGTCATAACGCCGATATACAAGGGTGGTGACAGGACAAACCCCTCTAATTACCGCCCGATAGCACTGCTTTCCACTGCCTCCAAAGTAATGGAGAGTATCATAGACGATTTCTTGCGCTGCCATTTAGAAAGTCTGTCCTTAATAGCCCCGGAACAGCACGGGTTCCGCAGGGCTCACTCGTTC